TATACTTTGTAAACCTTGAGGGGTCTATAGTTTGTCCCAATGTCTACTTGTAATACAAACATTGCGTGGCTATAGTTTGTCTAAATATCGATAATCGATGTGCTCTACTGATCTCAATTTGTTTCGATACCCTAAATTTCACTTTTCAAATACCTCGAGCAAATTAAAAATAGAAAATATGTCTGCGCATTGGTCGCGAAAAAGTTGAGCTACTACACACATAAATTTCAACAGCCGCTAGAAGTAGTTCGCGATTTTCCTCAGGAATTGCTATCGATGTTTTCAAGGAAAGTTATCATCTGTCGTCAGTCGATAGTCACCAGAAGCAGTACTAGACGCTCGCCAGCACAGCTATAGAGAGTCGCAAAGAACAGCTATAGAGAGTCGCAAAGAACAGCTATAGAGAGTCGCAAAGAACAGCTATAGAAAATGGCCAGAAGCAGCTATTGGCGGTTCCTAGAATAACAATATACAGTTGCAAGAAACAGCTATCAATCGTGGCCAAGAACAGATAAAGACAATGAATAAGAACAGCTTTCAACAGAACAGAAACAGATGTTGGCTGTCGCTAAGAACAGCTATCGACTTTATCCGAAAACAGCTAGCTACAGTTGCTAAAAACAGCTATCAATAATCAACAGAAACAGCTATTCGCAGCTTCTAAGAACAGCTATCGACGTTATCCAAAAACAGCTACATATAGTCGCTAAAGACAGCTATCAGCAGTCAACAGAAACCGATGTTGGCCGACGTTAAGAATTGCTATCGACGTTATCCAAAAACAGCTAGCTACAGCCGCTAAGAACAACTGTCGACGTTTTCAAAAATAGCTATCTACAGTCGCTAAAATTAGCTATCAACAGTCAACAGAAACATGTTGGCAGTCGCTAAAAACAGCTATCGACGTTTTCCAAAAGCAGCTAACCACAGTCGCTAAGAACAGCTGTCGACGTTTTCGAAAAACAGCTACATAAAGTCGCTAAAAACAGCTATCGACGTTTCCAAAAGCAGCTAACTACAGTCGCTAAAAACAACTATCAACAATCAACAGAATCAGCTATTCGCAGTCGCTAAAATAGCTATCGATGTTTTCCAAAAACAGCTATTTACAGTCGCTAAGAACAGCTATCAACAGTCAACAGATACCGATGTTGGCAGTCGCTAAAATCGCTATCGGGGTTTTCCAAAAACAGCTAGCTCACTTAGAACAGCTTTCAACAGTCAACAGAAACAGCTATTGACAGTCGCTAAGAACAGCTATCGACGTTTTCCAAAAACGGCTAACTACAGTCGCTAAAACCTATTCGACAGTGGCCACTGCGTTACAACGGTCGCCTGTCAGAATCGACTTCTCACCTGTGCAGGTGGTCCCGACTTCTCACCTGTGCAGGTGGTCCCTGTTTCTCACCTGTGCAGGTGATCCCTGTTTCTCACCTTTGCAGGTGGTCCCTGCTTCTCACCTGTGCCGGTGGTCCCTGCTTCTCATCCTTGCAGGTGGTCCCTGCCCCAGTTTGCTGACGAGTGCCTGTGCTCGTGTGAGCTCCCCCTACCCCCCGGGGGCTGGCGATTATCTCATCCCCACCCTAGACGCAGGGAGAGAAATCAATGTCTTCACGACGGTACAAAAAGAGTGAGTCTATTTTTAGACTTAAGTTGTTATTTTTTTTTTTTTGCCTGACTTTGGATTACAGCCTGCGGTTTATATTGATATAACATTTACAAATCTATAACAAGGTGTGTTGTCTTCTCTAAGGAATCATTATGGAAAAGTGTTATCGTAGATCAGCATTGTGTAGAGTACTCACGTTGAGTGCGGTGAAATAAGAGTAGATAGATCGAATGGAATTATGGGATTAAAGATATAGAGAGAGCTATAGTCTAAAGTGAAACAGGCGTCTTAGTTATGTAGCAAGGTGAAGAGACGGTATACAGTTTTCGTTTAATTTCTTGCATTAAAGAAAAAATGAAAAAAAAAATGAAAAAAATAAACCTGAAGCGGTACTTAGTTTTTGTCCTGTTACGCGTAAGTTAAGATAAGCAAAGAAGAAAAGGTAAACATTGATTACCAATGATATGTTCTAATTAGAACCAAAAAAATGCGTATACCTTCAATAAATTAACTAGCTGCATACCCGTGCTCCGCCACGGGGGAATCGTTTTTAAATGTACCAACTATGGAACAGAAGAAAAGTAAACACAAACACGAAAGAAAACACAATCACGACGCAAACACAAACAACAATATTACGCTTGTTGATAAGTATATAGAGAAACATATAGGTTAGACGAACAATTAGAAAACAATACCAGAAATGGAGATCATTAGAGAAAAACGAGAGATAAATTAGAGAAAATAAATTTAAAAAGGTCAAGATAAAGAGCATGACGACTGAATGGAAAATGTATTCTTGCACCTATACTAATGTTACATCTTGGAACAATCCAACTGACAGTGCTATATTCTCGGCCGTATCCAAATAATCATATCTATAACTAATAATGACACATGTATTTACGACAAATAAGATAACACTGAATATAATGTGTGCGTTGGTATATCTACATCAACACACATATTCCCATTCAAACGCACAGACTATCACACGCACGCACATGCAGTAATACACACACAAACACACATTCGTACATTCATTCATGCATCAACACACAATATACACGTTTTTAAACTCACAGACACACACACATATGCACGTGCATTAGGTGCGGTCATCTTATGATGTCAAATTGACACCCTCTCGCTGACATGACAAGAAAGCTGGTGTCAATTATCGTGCTGCTCTTTGTTGTCAATACACTTGACGTCATCTGCAGACGACTTCACGTGTGTGAGAGAGTTATGACTTTTCTGATGTAGTTGTGTGGGGAGATTGCGTTTAGTGTGTATGTGTGTGTGGGAGGGTGGTCATATTTAGTATAAATACAGGGTCTGTTTTAAAGTAGTATGATGGGATGGATGTTTTTTGTTCTACCTTTGAAAGTGACCACGATATTTTAGTGATCGTATTTCAACAAACTGTGTCAGAAAATTCGTCAAAACTTAGTAAAAAGTATAGACACAGATCTACGACAATAAAGTGATATTAGGAATCCACATATTGTCTCAATGAATTGTTAACGGACGTGGAGTAGGTAGTTGATATCGACCGTTGATATGTGTATTTGCTTGAAGATCAATGTTTAATGTGTGTTGTTTTATTCAGGAATTAATGGGTGTTTTTTTTTGGTGTTTTTTTTTTGTACAATCTAGGGCTGTAATCTTTGCTGATAAATTCTCTTCCCTATCTCTTCTCTCCCATCTCCCATGCCTCTCTCTCCCATCTCACATGCCTCTCTCTCCCATCTCCACTCTCCCATCTCCCATGCCTCTCTCTCCCATCTCCACTCTCCCATCTCCCATGCCTCTCTCTCCCATCTCCACTATCCCATCTCCCATGCCTCTCTCTCCCATCTCCCATCTCCCATGCCTCTCTCTCCCATCTCCCATCTCTCATGCCTCTCTCTCCCATCTCCTCTCTCCCATCTCCCATGCCTCTCTCTCCCATCCCCACTCTCCCTACCCCAAAACACGAAGCTTCTCTAACATTGTGGTTCCTAACCTTTTAGGAAGTACCGACCGCGACAGTTTCTTATGTGCAATTTACCAAACCCTTCTCGATTGTTCTATCGTCCTCACTGACAAAATCCGATCGTGTACCTTACGAGTCAGGTGTCTGTCTTGACTTCCGCCGAACCACTTAGACTGACAACCCCAACACATGGGGTTCGATTGAACCCGGGTTATATATCACTGGTGTAAGACCAGCTCACAACCAATTATTACAAGCGCAAATATAAATGTCTCTTATACATGTGCAGCCCCCCCCCCCCCCCCCCAAGAACGTCTACCCCCCCCCCCCTCGAGCGAAATATAGTTTATATAGAAAATATATTTTTTTTACATTCTCCCCCCCCCCACCCCCACCCTCCCCCCCGAAAGTTTAAGTCCGCCCACCCTCACCCGAAAAGTTCAAGTGCGCCCCCTCCCACCCCCCCCCCCTTCCTACTGAGAAAAAATCTGAATCTGATGTGCACTCACTGTATATTGCAACACTATTAAGTTCGACATGACGAAGATGCTCAATCAGCTACATCTAATTTCCAATTATTCTGTTTTCTCATTCCTCATAGCCCTTCATACTTATATTACAGGTCAATGACTTTTCTGTGAACGTTAGCAATCCGCTATACGATTTTGTTAGGATTTTATTTTCCTTCATCTGCATCTTTATAAAAAAATGCAGGTCGATTTGAAATACGAGAGTGTAATACAATCTAATAAGCAATTGGACTCAATCTCAAAACAGCGTTTTTCTTTTGCGCAATATCATGTTTGCTTCAATACTGGTTTTAATTGTCTATTGTTTTTTTTTAAATCGCACGCGAAATAGCTAAGGCATTCCTAAAAGACTGTTGACAATTCGGCTAATTGCGCCTGGCTTAAAATTATGGGTTTTCCATGCTTGTTAATCGGTCTATTTAAGTAGTCGTATTGCAGTTTTTCCCGTATAATTTGTTGTATTGAAATACGTTTTCTTGATTAATTGCTTTCCGATGCTCCGGTTCATAAAAATGACATAACGACTTATATTTAGCTTTTAGAATATCTATCTCTTTTTGTAAGGGTCTATATGTTTGACGAGCTGTTGCTAGAATGATATATATATATATATATATATATATATATATATATATATATATATATATATATATATATATATATATATATATATATATATATATATATATATATATGTATTTTCATAAGGAATCCAGAAATGATTAACACAAACGAACTACATACATTTACTGTAAACGTTTTCTGGCCTACGTTTCGGATACTGCTGTGATTTCTTTGAATCCGTGCCATGTTTTTTCCAAACTAGTCCCTGCATTTTTCCAATGTTTGCCGCGGTGCCTTACGCTCTAACACTATTTTCATGATGCCCATACCATTCTCAAATGTCCTCATCCATGCTTTCCTTCTGTGGACAACGTCGCTCGGTAGTACTCTGAACAGCACGGACGTCCAAGAAGCCAGGCTTGTATCGGTGGATTCGCCTATGCATATTTTTCATCTTGCAATCCTCCTGCCTTACGACAAGAAATATTTCTTCAGCATTCCCGACGCGAGGCCGGCTATAGAACACGCCAGCAGCCATCTCCATGAGTACAACATCTCCACCAACATCACCTTGGCGCTTCACTACGCCGACACCAACTGCAGCGAGAAAGACGCACCGCTTGCCGTTTTCAACAACAAAAGAACCGTTCACGCTTTCTTAGGACCGTTCTGCGACTACAGTCTAGCGCCGTCGGCTAGGTATTTAAGCGTCTGGAATCTTCCAGTCATCTCCCCTGGTGGATTTAGCCACTCGTTCAAGCTCAAAGAGAAAGGAAACTTCACGACTTTAACCCGAGTAGGTTGGACTTTAGACTCGCTATCCACATTCCTACACAAAACGGTGACATTTTACCACTGGAAAAAAATATTTCTCCTCTACGACGGCAACATTGCCGACAGCATCATGCCGAAGTTTTGCTACCTGGCCGCTAGCGCGATCACGCATCTCTTTCGAGGAAACAACGTAGTCAAGTTGAAGATGTTCATGATCCTCAATGACGGCACCAACCACGAGAGCACGTTCAGACACGAGATTGGTATCCAGCACAGCGGTGAGTAGAACAGTACTCGTCTACAGCTTACAAACAACAACAACAACTACTACTTCCGCTGTTTCTGTGCTTTTATATGTCATGTGTATCTTTCTCTTCTTGTCATTCGAGATTTAATTGTAATTCGTTCTTACATCTTACAGAATACGACTACAACTCATTTACTTGTCACTCTTTATTCTTTGTGGAGCATAGGGCCTAAACCCATGTTTCACATTTATGCACCGTTCCCGGCTGTGAATATTACAGTCTTTCTATGAATACACATAGATAAAAGAAAAAATATATAAATATGTAGTCTTAAATTTTGGAGAATAACCTTCTTGTATAACGTCGGAACAGGATAATTGTATCACTTTAGGTCGTGTATTTAGAACCATTTGAATTTGTTGCAGTTTAAGGAGTGTTGTAAAATGACAAAAGTATTGTCAAGGATATCTGAAATGGACGGTTGGCTATATTAGATGTGTAACAAACTCGTGTTTAGAATATCACTATTTTATAGCGAACCGCCTTGTTCTAAACTCTCACGTGAATGTATGTTATTAAAATATTAAAAAGTGTCGCGAAGTTTTTTTTTTTTTCTCGGGTTCGACAACTTGTGGACTAAACTAAACAGGATCTTCTTTTTTCGTTGTATGGGGTCGCGGGTAACTTGGCTTTTATTCATAGGGTTGGAGACTAGAAAAAGTTTAGGAATATGTGTGTTAAAGTGTGAATGTGTAAAAAAAATCGATACTTGTTTCCTCAATATACACGTCATAAAATGTTGAAAGGATTTTTGAGAGTGTGGGGAAAAAGTGGTTATCTTATACTCCCTACCTATTTAAAACAGTATAATCTCATGGACCGGAAAAAGGGGGGGGGGGGGGGGGTTATGTATCTAATCAATAATTTTTTATCCATACTTGATTAATTGTCAATGTATTTTTTGACATTTCACCTGTTTAATGTATCAGAACACATTGACGCCAGCGCATTATCTTACAACATTTGAAGAAAATTTCATCAAGTTTAATCACAACATAGATTGCAAAGATGATTTTTGTGCTTACCAATTTACTTTAACAGTAACATAGTTTTTGTTATACGTTCTCTGACTTGGTCTCTCTCTGTATCTTTATGCCTCTCTCTCTCTTATATATATATATATATATATATATATATATATATATATATATATGTATATATATATATATATATATATATATATATATATATATATATATATATATGTATATATATATATATATTGTATTCATCCATATCTGTTACTATTTGACATATTTTCGGCGAGGCAGATGTAGGGGGGGGGGGGGAGAGACCGTGTACCAGTCCACTCTCCTTCACCCCCCCCCCCCAGGCCCGGTACGAAATAAAAAGAAAATCAATTATATTTAGTTAATAAAAATAATTTTTTATCAAGTGGCCGCCTACACAGATATTTAACTGCCACCCCCCCCAACACCCTCGCCCTGCTGAGAAATGTCTGAAAGAAACACGAATTTATATATAGTCGCCACAGGAGAAAAAAAAAACGTTTCAATTCATCCTGTCATCATCTGCAAATGCAAAATAAGTTTATTGAAAAACTCGCTGCACATCCTTTAATAACAAACGCTAAATTGATAACCCATTTACTTAATTAATTCCCTTTTGCCGTACTTGTACTAATTAGTTCCCTTGATAATTGAAAGTTCCGCTCCTGAGGTCGACTTTATTGTGTTGGATTTATATTTGTGGCGATCACATTTTCTTGTGTGTGTGTGTATGTCTGTCTGTCTGTGTGTGTGTAGATGTGTGTGTGTTTGTGTGGATTTTCATTGTGTAGGAGTTATTTTCTTATATCGATCATATTTTGTTGTGTTTATTTGTTCGGTGTGTGTGTGTGCGTGTGTGTGTGTGTGTGTGTGTGTGTGTGTGCATGTATGTATGTATGTGTGTGCGCCTGTGTGTGTGTTAGTGGTTGTATGTGCGTGTTCGCGTGTGTGTGAGATGAATGGTGACATAAAATCCAGTAAACTATGGCAACGCTAACATAAAAGTATCGCTAGGGCTAAGATTATGGTTCGGTTCATCATATACACTACAAGTCAATTTCAGACAACATTACTGAAGTTGTAACTTTTTTTTGTTTGTTTGTTTGGAAGAGTCCATTAGCGGGTACAAGAGTAAAAAAAAAAACCTCCATATTTTGTCTCTCGTATTCGAAGTATAGAGAAAGTATTGAAAGAGAAATACATCCGTCGAACAATGGAGGCTGGACATATTTTACGTCATGTGTGTTTCTACTTACATTCTATATATATAAAGCAAAGTGGTCGGGTGCCCGATAGGGCACTTCCCGGCGCCGCAGGCGCGTCAAATTTGGCACTAAGGTGCCTTATGGCGATAGAACACGAGGGCCGGTGACGGTTCGGCAAAAAGTCTACGGAGCGGGGGTCAAAACTGACCTCGACTGACCGGCGCCTTATATGGGCTATATTACGAAAAAAAAATTCCTCCGACGACCCCCATTGACATTTTGTGAGGTGGTAGGAGAACACCTTGGGGTGTCACAAAAAACTCGGCATATCTGGGAAAACTTCGTAAAGGGGTCAAAACTGACCAGTTGTATTTCCCTATATAATCTTTGTATTTTATGGGAAAAACAGAGGGTCATTTCAACGCAGACTTTAGGGTACTTAAGCTCAGTATATCTGGCTAATTTTTTGCATGCTCCTAGGTCAATGGCTTGACCTTTAGGGAAAACTGTCGGTTACACTCAAAGCCCTCGACGAGGGCTAAAAAGAGACCGCGAGTGAAATTCTCTTTATATGAGCTATTACGAAAAAAAATTTCCTCCGACGACCCCCCTTGATATTTTGTGAGGTGGTAGAAGAACACCTAGGGGTGTCACAAAAAACTCGGCATATCTGGGAAAACTTTGTAAAGCGGTCAAAACTGACCAGTTGTATTTCCCTATATAATCTTTGTATTTTATTGGAAAAACAGAGGGTCATTTCAACGCAGACTTTAGGGTACTTAAGCTCAGTATATCTGGCTAATTTTTTGCATACACTACTATAGATGACTAGGCCGTATGGAAAAACTGTTGGTCAGACTCAAAGCCCTCGACCAGGGCTAAAAGATGATCTTGAGTGAAATTCTCCTTATATGAGATATATATATAAATAAATTGACGAACGATCCCCTTAATATTATGTGACGTCGTAGACCGACCCTGGAGGCTAACAAAAAAACTTTAATCCCGTCGGAAACAGCCATTATAGTTGTTAAATATGTTCATATACCATAATCTCTTATATAAGCATAGCAACTGTTTGTAAAAAAAAAACAAAGACATACGTCATACGTTCAGTTTTCAAGGGAGATAACGTTTTTTAAATTATTATTTTTCAAATAATTGTATACTATTTTAAACAGAAACAGAAAATGACGAAGTATAGCATTTGTTTTAGTACAAAATTAAGTTGTTAATTTAGCTACGTATCCCAATTAAATAAATAAATAAATTTCAAAAGGCAATGTAATAAAAACTATGAGATGTACTGTTCATGGAAGCTGTGTAGTTCTAATTCCATTTTACTTATACATTGCGTACTTTCCGATATTTCTCTGAGAACGGTATTTAAATGACAAACTAAAACATTTTTTTTCTAAAGTTAGCATTACTGTTTAAATTAAAGCACTCAACACCAAATCCATCGCTAAATAATTAAGTATTCAAATTCTCAAATGTTATTTAAAAACCTAAGCGAAGCTAGGCAGTATGCCTAGTATATATATATATATATATACATACATGTACACATTTTAACCTTTTCTAATCTTAATTTTGTGTATTTGTATGTTGTGATATAGTTTCATCTACATGTTGTAGGTGAGAAACAACATAAGAGGATGTTGCTATTTCACATACAAAAACGTACATGACTTGCTTTTTTAGTACACAAATTAGAAATTTAATATCGCTATTTAAATTACTTTTTTTTAACATTATTTCATCGATTTATATGTGTTATTATTTGTTGCACCTTGTTTTTTTATGTTTTTTTTTTTAATTTTAATTTTAAACTCGTCGCAGTGTTTTACAGAATGTTTTATTGAAAGTTTATCTCTTCAAGTTTAACATTTGAAAAAAAAATCTATAATTAGCGTTTGGGCATCGAATTACGTTAAAACAATTTAACACCCTTGTTGTGTTTTTTATTTGTCGTGAGGAATCTGTGCTTTGACATTTTGCAAAGTTTAAAAATTTAAAAAAAAATTGCTTTCGTTGCTCTTTAAGTTAATCTATAATCTTCCTACACAAAAACATTTAACTTTTTACACTGTTTTTGATTAGAACTAACTTATTTTAACAAAACCAGAATATCTAATACATTTCTAGTCAATGCTATCAATTTATCCCTAACGGGGTTAAAATGTCATTGTGAATTATATAGCCTAAGCTATAGGGAAGGTCTTTCGTAATAATCAAGTTGTTTAAATCAGGAAATATTACATTTTTTTACGTTCGTACCAAAAACAATCGGAGTAGATGAAGCAGAGTCAATCCGGTTTAAAAACTTCCACTACACGGGGATAATATGGTCAGCACTAAGTCTATCCACCCGATGTAAGTAACCTTCACCCCTCTCCAACATTAACCCCCTCTCCCCCATCCCCCATAGACCTAACTCAACCCCAAACACAACAATATATAGAATTAAACAGTCTCCCAATATAGACCCCCACTCCACCCTTATAAACCTACCGTCATATCAAATTAAACCCTCTCCACTTAATGATGTCACACCCTCCCCCCTCCCCACACTATAGACCTTTCGTTATATCATATTAATTTACCTCCCCATAAATGATCTCACACACCCCTCCCCACACTATAGGCCTACCCTTATATCAAATTAAACCCCCTCCCCATAATGACCTCACACCCTCCCCCTCCCACCCTTTACAATTCCCACCAAATAACACACCATCCCTACGACATGTTGCACTGATA